TGGGTTCTGGAGGAGGATGTGGAGTTGGAGAGGAATGTGACCATGGAGGTATTGGCAGAGGGAAAAGCCATGGAGGAGATGATGGAGGAGCCAAGAAGTCACTCAGAGCGGTGCCAAGACCAAGGCCCATTGTGGAACTGATGGAGGGAGAAGTCAGGACTGGTGGAGACCCAGGCGTAGCTGAGGAGACAAAGACCCAAGGGGACACAGGAGGCCTGGAGGGCCAAGGCGGAACCGGAGGCTTGCGGGACCGAGGTGGACACAGGGGCTGAGCTGATGGGAGTGAGGACCAAGGTTGGGCTGGGTTGTGGCTAGAAGGAATACAGCAAAATCCGGAAGCTAACAATAAATTTAATTTTCTACCTATTAGATTGTGTTTTATTAACATCTACACCTACCCCAACCTTAAACCTACCCATTAAAATAAAAAAAATAGTAATTATTGTTGTACAGTGTGAGAACAATTACGCTATATTGATGTGCGCTTGCCCAGTTGTTTTTTCTGTATGCCATCTATCCTTAACCGTTGGGCTGGAGAGAAGGAGGAGACCAGAGGAGCCAGAGGGTTTGGAGGGACGATGCACAGCCAGTGGTCTGGAAGAACGTGGTGCAGGCTAGATGATGACTGACCAAGGCTGAGCTAGAGGGACCAGGGAGCCCAGTGGAGTCCAAGGATTGACAGACACTGGTGGAGCTGAGGGATCATGGAGCCAAGGGGAGCCAAAGGGTCAGGGCTCAGAGGCCCAAGGTGGAGCTGGACTCCACCATTACTTGCTCTGGCTCTGTTTCTGCCATGCACTCAGGCTTTAGGTCCTTGGAGGGCTTTCCCCGTTGAAAAAAAACAGCATATGCTGGTTATGTTTTGAAGCATGGCTGCTGGTTTGAGCTGGTCATGTGCTGGTCCTAAGGAACTAGCTCCTGTTTAGGCCCAGCACATGACCAGCTCATAACCAGCTAAGGACCATCTTAAACCAGCTCAAACCAGCAGCCATGCTTCAAAATATACCTAACCAGCATATGCTTGTTTTTTCAACACGGTTGGCAACTTGGCACAGGCTCTGGGTTTGTGGCAGAAATGTTGAAAAGTGGGGAAGGACTAATGAGGAATTCCGAGGCAGGTGTGTCACTGGAATGATGATGGGCAATGGCAAGATGATGCAAGTGGGCTGGGTAGGCTGTTGCTGAGTGTCCTCCTCTACCATCTCAGCAACTGTGAATGGCGAGCCACTTAGTCAAACAACATAGTCTATGTATTGTGCCAGAGTATAGAGTACAAGTGGTAGCTCCCACTGGCAGCATTTGGAAGAAATGGTCATCCAGCCCTCCCCAAAACATGTCTTCAAGGTTCCGTCATTCCAGGACATTGATGGCAGAGCTTAAAGTGCCCCTATTATGCAATTTTAAGGTTCCTAATATTGTTTGGGGAGGCTCCTACATAAGGTCTACATGCATGCAAGGTCAAAAAACACTTTTGTTTTCTCATAATATACATTTAATTTCACCGCATTTCTCAATGATTTTCAAACGATTCGTTCAAAGCAGTTCTAAGATTCAGTCTCTCTAAACCCCTCCTTTCCGTGAGCCTACTCTGATCTGATGGCCCAGTCCTTTGTTATTGCTCTACCGCGAAAAGCGTACGTCGGAAACTAATTGCCTATTGCCACAACTGAATGACAGCTCCAGAGAGAATGTATACAGAGAAAAGTTTCGATTTTACCTTATAAATTTGAGACCGAGCCCAATGATGAAACATCTAGTTGGTCAACCCCGGAGGGGTTTCAAAAATCGATGTCCATTGCACGCAAAACGGCAAGTGAATTGAATGGAAGCACAGAGTTTAGGAGAAAATGCCTCCGCAAACAGAAACAATTCCATGATGAAACCAGCAATTACAGCGAAGATGAAGACCCTGAAATGCATTTTAGGTGTGGTTAATGTAATTGTTGACACAGCTATCCAGGAACTTAGTGACAGGTTATAAAACCTTGGCCATGTCTCTGACAGATTTAGTTTTTTAATCAAGATGGAAACCATGACAAAAGAAGAACTGGAGAAATCTGGACTGCCCAAGCTCTTGCATACCCCTCAGCAAATGTTGCCTGCATTTACATACATTTAGGGACTATGGTGATACAAAATCCAGGAAATAATTAAGTTGATTATAATGATAAATTCTGCCAAAAAGAATAGTAGGCGGCTACTAAACTATGTATAAGACAAAGATCTCTTACTCTCTTTATTGTTTAATAGGGGCCGATTTTTAGAGTGGAGTACCCCCTGAGGCATTTATACCATCCTTCTGCATACCCCCTCTCTTCCACTTAGACTGCACCTTTTCCATTAAAGTACAATATTTACCCCCTAAATTGATTTTCAGTGCATTTTTTATCTTTATAAATACAATATTAATACTGTTGTACATAATAATAATAATAATAATAATAATAATAAAGTTCAATAGGTGGACATGACAAACATGAACACATTAACCTGCGTGTTCTGCTTGGACTCTAGAAAGCCCAAACCTGTAATAGCTGAAAAACATAGTCAATATTCATTACAATGTATATAGGTTTCCAAACATCAAAACAATAAAAGTTCAGTAGCTTTAATTTCCCCCCCTGTATGAATGTGTCCTGTTATTTATTGTAGCAATAAATAATGACTATCATACATTTTTACCATGACTTACAGAAGACACGCACTAAGTATAGTCCATATACAAAAATATATATATATATTGTCAGGCATATGTAGAACAAGAATCAGTAGATGACGTTAAAAGACTGTGTTTAAGGATCATGGTGCAGCCCCTCAAAGCTAAATTGTCATTTTGAAATCTTTAACAACATTTGCCACTATCCTTCAAACCACTAGGATTTACCCAATTGTCAGCAATACGTTATAGCTGAAAAACATAGTCAATATTCATTACAATGTATATAGGTTTCCAAACATCAAAACAATAAAAGTTCAGTAGCTTTCATTTCCCCCCCCTGTATGAATGTGTCCTGTTATTTATTTATTTCTGAGCAATATGTAGCAATAAATAATGACTATCATACATTTTTACCATGACTTATAGAAGACACGCACTAAGTATAGTCCATATACAAAAATATATATATATATTGTCAGGCATATGTAGAACAAGAATCAGTAGATGACGTTAAAAGACTGTGTTTAAGGATCATGGTGCAGCCCCCCAAAGCTAAATTGTAATTTTGAAATCTTTAACAACATTTGCCACTATCCTTCAAACCACTAGGATTTACCCAATTGTCAGCAATACGTTTTTAATAATCTAAAGGGGTCATATGATGCTTTTTTAAAGATCATTATTTTGTGTATTCGGTGTAACAGAATATGTGGACATGCTTTAATGTTCAAAAAACACATTATTTTTCAAATACTGTACATTATTGTAGGTCCTCTATGCCCCGTCTCTCTCAAACGCTTCGTTTTCTACAAAGTCCCTCCTTCTGACAAGCGCAGTCTGCTCTGATTGGCCAGCTGACCCAGTGCATTGTGATTGGCCGAACACCGCAAGCACTCGTCGGAAATGTAACGCCCCTTACCATAATCGCGAGCTTCATCTTTCAAAATAAATGTAAAGACAGAGCCCGAAAGGGGAACAGAGTCGCGTGACAGACACAGTGATGAAGCTGGTATGTGTTTGCAGTACACAAGCCACGGTTAAGACAGCTGACTCCACTGTGATGTG